TTCAATCTGATTTGAAGCGCAGCAGGGGGTTCCACAGTTCCTGAACACTTGGATGAAATGAAGACAGAGGGACTGTGGCTCCAGCAGCAACTCTAACAGCAAGGACCTTTTTCTTTCCTTTTTCCTCATCGAATTGAGCTTCCTCGTTTCAATGTAACAACCCTTAATAAAGAAGTATCTTTTTTCCTGACTTTTTCTCAACATAGTGATACATTGTGTCACTATACATTGTGTCACTAACTAACATAAACCTTTCCTTTCCCGAGCTGCAGATCCCTCCTGGCTTGCCCAGGCTGCTCTTACAGCATCCCACGGAGGCCAAAACTGCGTTCCTTTGAACCGCGAATATAGAGACCTATTTGGGCCCCCGTATCCGCGGGTCAATGGATAAGCTTCAAACCGGTTTCCTAGACTAATTTTAAGAGTAACTGCTATCTCCCTTTTTGCATAATGGACCCCTGCACCCTGGGAAAACCATTTTTGTTCCAAAAACCTCATGTGGGGACCAGCTGGCTTCAATCCATGGCTCCACACTGCAACGGTGTTTTGCCTCCATTTCATGTGTGTCCAAAAGCCTGTTAACCCTGGAAGAGTCCCCTGAGGTCACCCCTTGGGACCTCTGGACCTCTGGCAGGCTGTTCTGCCCTTTAATTAATTGGATCTGTAGTTTTCCTTCCTTTTCAATGAGTGGATTCCAACTTCTAGTGCTCCCAGAGAACTCTCATGAACTTTTTTGGAACTCTTATAAACTGTTACCAACTTCCCAGGGAACTTTCATAAACTCTCATGAACTTTCCAAGGACTTTTATGAACTTTTACCAACTTTTATCAATTTCTGAGAACTCTGAGTACCTTTATCAACTTTTGGGAACTCTCAGGATCTCCAGGAACTCTTTTGTCAAACCCCTATGAATTATGAACTCTCCTGGACTCTTTTTATCAATCTCCCCAAAAATTTTTATGAACTTTGATGGACTTTTGGGGGGGATGGCATGATCTCCTTTGGGCCCAGGCATGATTTCTCCTTTCCTTCTGAATTCATTTCATTCATTGTATGTTCCCTTACCCCTTCCCATCCCTTATATGTATGAAATATGAAGCAAAAGCCACTGTTTTCATCAAACCAGCAACTCTCATGACTCTAGAAGCCCCTCCATGCTTTTTGAGCTGATAACCCTGACAAAGGATTTCACCAAGCCCACTTTTGCACGGGCAAAAGATAAATGACCCTTATCACACCAGACTTTGGAGGGCAAAAGCCAGGCCATCTGGGATGATAGGATCTATGGACATTTAAATCACTCAGCACAAAGGGTATCTTCCTATCTGCGAGGAACCAGGAATTTCACCACAGCTTCTCCACAGACTGGCCAAAACCAACCTCAGCTTCATCAAAGAACCACATATCCCAAGACTATGAAACAAAGGATCTAGCCACTTGAGGACTAGACAAATATGATGATTCAAAAGACTAACACAATAACTCAGGTCCAACTTGAGGGCTTAAGCTATCGTTGGGCCATTTGGCAAATATTGGTCACCCAAATCCAGCTGATGACTCCAACCAATCAGCATAAAGCTGGCTCAGGGGGCGGGGGCGGGAATTTTGAATTTGACAGTTTTGTATTTCCTATAAAAACTGTGTTATTTTCCCCAACTAGTCATGTCGGCTCCTGAGCAAATGATTGTCATCATCCTTTCCAGATGGAATGAAATAAACAACTCGGTGGCTTTCCTTCAACTTGGTGATGAAATGGCAGGGAGAAGGTTTGAGGAAAAGAGACAAAGAGAGGTCTGGAGGTCTCAAAAGCACAGATTTTATTTCCAGCTGGGYCCCTGGKGTGGACTATGTCCAAAAGCATCCAGAGCAATGATATAGGCGTTGACTATGGCTTTTATACCCTCCAATCGCAGTCAAACAAAGAGCATGCATCAACATACATTGACCTCATTCACTACGTCATCTTAGCATCGTACGAATATCAAATTCTACCTTTCAACATGCAAAAGGCATGTATCTGTGTATTTCTTTCTAGCAGCATACAGCTTACCTTCATCAATCAAGGGGCCTAACTTTGACCTTTCAGGAAGAAGAGGTGGGCTCCTTTTAGAGCCTAGTTGTACCAGTCTGTTGCTCCTAGGACAGGCTTATCTCTCTCCTGGAATGTATAGATAACATGCCCCCCTCTTCAGCCCCTCTCTTGCTATGCCTGGACAGCAGCTCGCTTGTCCATTAGCATTCTTTCTATACAGAGAGAGCCTGATTTTTCTATACATTTCAGTGCTTGTAAAGTACATACAAATTATACATAAATAAATATCTATATTTCCAATATCTCCTCATCAGTGAGATTTATTGGGAAAATTACGGAAATGTTTTTCTGGGTGTCTTCTGTCTCGCCAGGTGTTCGGATCATCTTTTTCGGGTCTGGCCGGTCTCTGCCTTTGCAGGGCCTTCCAAATTCATGTTCGACATCATTATGTTGTTATGTGCTTTATATATTTTCATGAGATGTTGTGTTTTGATGACAATGTTTAATTTTTAATAGTTGTAATGTTTTTGTTTTGTTTCGCCGCTCTGAGTCCCAATCTGGGAGAAAAGGGGGATAGAAACAAATAAATAATGATTTAAATACAGCTTGCATTTTAATTAGCTGCTTACTCTTTTCATTAGGTTTGCTTCTATGTTAATGGTAATTGAGCAAAGCTTGTGCCAACTTTTTTGCAGATGAGAACAAAAGAATTGGACAGAAAATAAACCAGGGTCAACCAGCTCTTTAAGATGCGTCTACACTGTAGAATTAATACAGTTTACAGGATTAACCATGATTGACGGTGGCGCAGTGGGTTAAAGCACTGAGCTGCTGAGCTTGTTGATCGAAAGGTCGCAGGTTCGATTCCGGGGAGCGGCGTGAGCTTCCGCTGACAGCCCTAGCTTCTGCCAACCTAGCAGTTCGAAAACATGCAAATGTGAGTAGATCAATAGGTACCGCTCCGGCGAGAAGGTAACGGCGCTCCATGCAGTCATGCCGGCCACATGACCTTGGAGGTGTCTATGGACAACGCTGGCTTTTCGGCTTAGAAATGGAGATGAGCACCACACCCCAGAGTCAGACATGACTGGAATTAATGTCAGGGGACTACCTTTACCTTTTTTTACTGCAAGGTCCTGAACCGGTGCTTGGCCGCTGTGACGATCTGGATGAGGGCGAACAAATTGAAATTGAATCCAGACAAGACAGAGGTACTCCTGGTCAGTCGCAAGGCCGAACAGGGCATAGGGTTACAGCCTGTGTTGGATGGGGTCGCACTCCCCCTGAAGACGCAGGTTCGCAGCTTGGGTGTGATCCTGGACTCATCGCTGAGCCTGGAACCCCAGGTTTCAGCGGTGACCAGGGGAGCATTTGCACAGTTAAAACTTGTGCGCCAGCTGCGCCGGTATCTTGGGAAGTCTGACTTGGCCACGGTAGTCCATGCTCTGGTTACATCCCGTATAGACTACTACAATGCTCTCTACGTGGGGTTGCCCTTGAAGACTGCTTGGAAGCTTCAAATGGTCCAACGTTCGGCAGCCAGGTTGCTAACAGGAGCGGCACTCAGGGAGCACACCACTCCTCTGTTGCACCAGCTCCACTGGCTGCCAATTTGCTACCGGGCACAATTCAAGGTGCTGGCTTTAGCCTATAAAGCCCTAAACGGTTCCGGCCCTACTTACCTCTCCGAACACATCTCCACCTATGAACCGACTAGGACATTAAGATCATCCGGGGAGGCCCTGCTCTCGGTCCCGCCCGCATTGCAGGCGCGTTTGTCGGGGACGAGGGACAGGGCCTTCTCGGTGGTGGCCCCTCGGCTGTGGAATGCCCTACCTGTGGACATCAGACAGGCCCATTCACTGCTGGCGTTCCGGAGGAAGGTCAAGACTTGGCTTTACGAACAAGCGTTTGGCTAAATAGTGCAATGGAATACAGGAAGATGGTACAACTGAACATAGGAATTGGTATAAAGGATTATGATTACGGATTCTGATTCTGATTTGTTGCTGAGGCACTGCGATTATGATAATGATTGTTTTTTGACCTTGTATGTTATGTATAATGTGTTTTAATTACCTTTTTCGATATTGTTGTGATAACCTTTATTATGTAAACCGCCTTGAGTCGCCATTTCGGCTGAGAAAGGCGGTATAGAAGTAAAGCAAATAAATAAATAAATAAATAATAAAATTAACCATGATTGAAAATAAATCAGGATTAACCAGCTCTAAAGTGAAGTGAAGCTCTTAATGGTGCATCCATTGTAGAATTAATGCACTTTAAGACAGCTTTGACTGCCAGTGAGCGAGACGTAGCTTTTAAAAGGGAATTTTAATGGGACTCAATGGCTATTGAATCCTGGGTGTTGTAGTTTCACAAGGATTCAACCAACTGCCAACCCCACCTTCCCTGTTTTTTTATGCCTTCTGGCCCTTTAAGAGGGAGTTGAGCCCCGCCCGGCGCATAGGCGATGACGTCGATGGCGTGGCCTCGGCTCATAGGCATATGACCACGCCCCCGATCGTACGCATGCGCGCCCTGCATCCCAGCCAGCGCGAGCATGCGCACAAGAGTTAGGGTGACGTTAGGTCAAGATTGGGAGGGCAAAAAAAATTTACGGTGGTGCTGCGCACGCGCACGAGAGTGAACGGCAGGCCCTCGGCTCATAGGCATATGACCACGCCCCCCGATCGTACGCATGCGCTGCTTCCCCTCTCCGAGCCCGTCTTGCGTCCCGGCCAGCGCGAGCATGCGCAGAAGAGTTAGGGCGACGTTAGGTCGAGAAAAAAAAAATTAAGGTGGTTCCGCGCATGCGGCCGGGAGTGAATGGGACTGAGGCGTGGGCCAAAAGAGGGCGTGATCGCGCGAACGGCTTAGTGCGCACGCGCAGTTGGAAGAAGAAAAAAAAGCCGGCTGCCACTGCGCATGCTCATTCCCGTCCACTCCTTTTTTTCGCAAGTCGGCCGACAGGGGGAGGGAGGCCTCGGGTGGTGTACGCATGCGCGCGGAAGCGAGGCAGTCAAGCCGGAGTTTGTGAGGAGAAGAGGCGGAGGAGAAGCCGGCTCGGGCCTCAGAGGACCCTCGGCGCCTGAGGTAAGCGCCCTGAGGGGCCCGAGACGGGAAGGGGACGGTTTCGGAGCCCGAAGAGCGGCCGGTTTGACTTGTCCGCCCCTTCTTTCCCCACAGCGCCGGAGGAGAAGGACTAGGCCGCAACTGAGGCGCCGGGAAGCCACGCCCCCTTCGAGGCAAGCCACGCCTCCCCCGATGAGGCCACGCCCCCGGCCCGCCCTCTCCGGAGGCTCCGCCCTTCTGCGCGCTCCCTCCTGATTGTGGGCCCAAAACCCATCCATTGGCGCCCCTCTCTTGCCTTGGGGCCCATCACCTCCTTCTCTGGACCCAGGACCACCCCTCTTCCTGTTTTGGTGATTATTTTGGCTCCTGACCCTGGCTTTGGGGGCTCTTCTGGCCTAATTTGGGGCCTAGGACAAGGGGAAAGGGGGCTGAGGCTATTTCCCTCCTTCTGCCTCCCTCTCAACGCATCCCCATTCATTGGGACCCCTTTGGAGTGCCTCTCAAAGGGAGAAAGGAGGTCTAGTGTCACCCCCCCCCCCATAACTTCCTTCTTTACAGCCCTTTTTTCTCCCTTTTTGTAGTATCAGATCCATTTCTCCCTTGTCCCTCTCACACAAGGGGTTTTGGGGGTCTTTTGGCCCTTCCAGGTGCATCTAAAAAGAGATTCTCTCCCTTTTGCACCCCCCACTTTTGCACCCCCATATCCTTCCTCTTGCACCCCCATATCCTTCCCCTTGCACCTCCATATCCTCCCCTTCACACCTCCATATCCTCCCTCTTGCACCCACCTATCTTCCCTTTTGTAACACTATATTCTCCCTTTTGTACTCCCATATCTTCCCCTTTGCACCCCCCTATTTTCCCCTTTGAACCCCTATATTATCCCTCTTGCACCCTCATATCCTCCCTTTTGCATACCCCTCTTCCCCTTTGAAACCCTCTATTATCTCTCTTGCATACCCTACCTTCCCTCTTTCATCCCCCTATCTTCCCCTTTGCACCCCTATATTATCCCTCTTGCATCCTCATATCCTCCCCTTTGCACCCTCATATCCTCCCTCTTGCATACCTTATCCTCCCTCTTGCATCCCCCTATATTCCCCTTTGAACCCCTATATTATCCCTCTTGCACCCTCATACCTTCCCCTTTGCACCCTCATATCCTCCCTCTTGCATCCCTCTATCTTCCCTTTTGAACCCCTATATTATCTCTCTTGCACCCTCATATCCTCCCCCTTGCATCCCCCTATTTTCCCCTTTGCACCTCTATATTATCCCTCTTGCACACCCCCATATCCTCCCTCTTGCATCCCCCTATCTTCCCCTTTGCACCCCTATATTATCCCTCCTGCACCCTCATATCCTCTCCTTTGCACCCTCATATCCTCCCTCTTGCACCCCCATCCTCCCTCTTGCACCCTCATATCCTCCCTCTTGCATCCTCCACCCTCCCTCTCATACCCCCTATCTTCCTACCCCCCAAATCCATCTCTGCCCCTCCCTCCCCCTTCATCGCCAAGCCCGCCCCCTGCCTGAGGGTTTGGGGGGCTGTCGGAGGCACCGTTGCCGCCCCCCGTGGATGCCGCCACCCCTCCGCCTGCCACCATGGGCAAAGTGCTGTCCAAGATCTTCGGCAACAAGGAGATGCGGATCCTGATGCTGGGCCTGGACGCGGCGGGCAAGACCACCATCCTGTACAAGCTGAAGCTGGGCCAGGCGGTCACCACCATCCCCACGGTGGGCTTCAATGTGGAGACGGTGACCTACAAGAACGTCAAGTTCAACGTGTGGGACGTGGGGGGCCAGGACAAGATCCGGCCGCTCTGGCGGCACTACTACACCGGCACGCAGGGCCTGATCTTCGTGGTGGACTGCGCCGACCGGGACCGCATCGACGAGGCCCGCCAGGAGCTGCACCGCATCATCAACGACCGGGAGATGCGGGACGCCATCATCCTCATCTTCGCCAACAAGCAGGACCTCCCCGACGCCATGAAGCCCCACGAGATCCAGGAGAAGCTGGGCCTGACCCGGATCAGGGACAGGAATTGGTACGTCCAGCCCTCCTGCGCCACCTCGGGCGACGGACTCTACGAGGGGCTGACGTGGTTGACGTCTAACTATAAGTCCTAATGGCGGCTTTTACGCCAGGGACGGACAGGACTACGGTTGGTCTCCGAGAGGGTTTAGCGGGGCAGAGGAACACTGTGGCTTCCTGAGAAAACAAACAACAATGAATGATTCTTCGTACTTAAACCGTTCAGAAATTCAGCATCCGTAGGATTTTAACGAGCGCTCACTTCGCCTCCTGTTTTCCGCCCCTTTTCTCTTGCGCAAAACTTCAATACGATTCTTGCTTGGTGTTACGACGCTCTCATCTTCTGCTGTGAATGAACACAAATACTAGTTTCTACGCCAGACTTCCAGCAACGTGGGATGTGACGGGGGGAGGCTCACGTTGTAGCTTTGCGAAGTAACTTTTCTCCTGTTTCACAAGCCCTTGTTATGAAGGGTTGGTTCGTTAGAGTCCTGGGGCTGTCACTTTTTCAAATGTATGGTTTCTCGGTCTGTTTTGCTTTGTTTCTTCAACCCCTTCCTCTCCATTATCATCTGCTGTAGATTGGCTTCTTTTTTGCAACCATGGAGAATATGTTGATAGGTCTCTTGTCTAGTAAACTGAAAACTGTTGCTTATGAACAAACTGCAGTCTGTCCTCTTTATGGCAAAAGTTTACAACTTCAGAAGGGAATTTGGAGCTCCTTTATCTGGCCTTTGATGGACCAGGAAGGTAGCGCTTGAAATAAAGGTATGGCTAGGTTGTTGTAGTTTTTTTTCGGGCTATATGGCCATGGTCTAGAGGCATTATCTCCTGACGTTTCGCCTGCATCTATGGCAAGCATCCTCAGAGGTAGTGAGGTGTGTTGGAATTAGGAAAATGGGTTTATATATCTCTGGAATGACTAAGGTGGGGCAAAGAACTCTTGTCTTCTGGAGCTAGGTGTGAATGTTTCAACTGAGCACCTTGATTAGCATTTGAGAGCCTGGCTGTGCCTGGGGGAATATTTTGTTGAGAGGTGATTAGATGTTCCTGATTGTTTCCCCTCTGCTGTTTTGCTGTTGTAATTTTTGAGTTTTTTAATACTGGTAGCCAAATTTTGTTCATTTTCATGGTTTCCTCCTTTCTGTTGAAATTGTCCACATGCTTCTTGTGGATTTCAATGGCTTCTCTGTGTAGTTTGACATGGTGGTTATGAGAGTGGTCCAGCATTTCTGTGTACTCAAATAATATGCTGTGCCCAGGTTGGTTCATCAGGTGCTTTGCTCTGGCTGACTTCTCTGGTTGAAGTAGTCTGCAGTGCCTTTCATGTTCCTTGATTTGTGTTTGGGTGCTGCATTTGGTAGTCCCTTCAACCAGAGAAGTCAGAGGAGACCATGAAAATGAACAAAATCTGGCTACCAGTATTAAAAAAAACTCTAAAATTACAACAGAGGGAAAACAATCAGGGACATCTAATCACCTCTCAACAAAAGATTCCCCCAGGCACAGCCAGGCCATCAAATGCTAATCAAGGTGCTCAGTTGAAACATTCACACCTAGCTCCAGCAGACAAGAGTTCTTTGCCCCACCCTAGTCGTTCCACAGATATATAAACCCAGTTTTTAGCTCCAATAGACCTCACTACCTCTGAGGATGTTTGCCATAGATGCAGGCGAAATGTCAGGAGAAAATGCCTCTAGAACATGGCCATATAGCCCGAAAAAAACCTACAACAACCTAGTGATTCCAGCCATGAAAGCCTTCAACAATACAAAGGTATGGCTGCTTCCTAGCTTTGGCATTGGCCAGGTAACGAGAGGACAACTTCCGAACATTAGCCGTAGGCGTTAGGAGCCAATTCCCACGCATGATCAAGGATGCAAGTGAGCATCCCTTCCTAAGAGTAATCGTGCGCAACTTAAAACGAGACTGATCTCAAAGCACAGTCCCCTAGACTTGCATTGTAATGTTGATTTTTCAGTAATTGCATCGATTTCCAGTTTAAGCACACATATATACTTTCATTCCATGATGTGCAGCAATAATTTGCAGGCATCACCGTGTCACAAACGTTGCTCTTAAAGTCCTAGGCCTCTTGTCCAAACTTGAATGTGAATGTTTTGTTTTTCCCCGTCGAAACAATTGAGGCAAGACAATAGAATCACAATGTTGAATTCTCAAATCTCTAGGCGAAAGAAATATTTGTAGATTTTTGTTTGTATGAACTTAAGGGGATGGAGGGAGCTTGCACCTGCTTCTGTGTCATCATGACTCAAATAATAAGTTATTCTTAGCATTTATTAAGATGTATCAGAAGGAAGGAAGGAAGTGACAACTCGGTTTTGCAGGTGCCGCTGGGCTGAGTGAAGCAGCCAACTATTTTTGGACATTGAGGTCCTTCTGCCTCCTGCAAAACCACACTGAAACCCTGAAGGGAAATGACAGAGGAGCTCCAGCCTTCTGCTCTGATAGTATCGTTATTTAATAATCATCAACAGGAGGCCTAAAGTTCATTAAGCCCTTTAGACAGGTAGCTAAAGAGTGGGGAGGAGAGTGAGCAAACGACAATGAATGTAAACTTCGACATTCTGTGCTTCAAGGGCAAGCGGGGATCTCATTTTGCCATATCGTAGCTTTCAAACATCCGAGTAGTTGTAAGGCATGGGTGGGGGTGGGGGTGGGGTGCGGTTGTGTGAATTCAGGTTCGCATAAAACGGTTTCAATCAAGTATTATTAAAACTGGGTGCAAAAATGTAGAGCAGCTGGTTCTTATTCAGCCTTAAGGATTAATTTTGGATTTCCTCGAGGAGTAAGACTCGTTTGAGGAATTTTAGGAATGTATTGCTACAAATCCAGAAGAAAAATTGCATTTCTTTTATTATTATTATTATTATTATTATTTTCTCTTGAAGGGTATATTAGTTTAAAAAATAAAATTGGGGGGCATTACGCTAGACCCCTTCGGTGTTGATTTTGCTGTTCAAATTGTGGGTTCTCAAGCTTGTACCAAAGATGTTTGAGGGCAATTAAGTAGTGACAAATTAATTTTCTTCAAAGTGCTTAGCATCACTAACCAGAAAAAAAAATCAGTGAGGCTCTGATTCTGAATAAGCATGTCGTGTCTTTGCTTGATTATTTTTTTATTTTAAAAGAACTAGAATCCCAAATTCAACAGGGATGTTCACTTTGATCATTTGTTTTAGAGTCAGAGCCACAGTATGAAGAAAGACAGCAGTGGTTCAATAAACAATTCTGCTAAAGTACAAAAAATTACGTCCTGGTTTGTTCTAAGTATATCTTGAGTTTCTGGTGGCGGCGGCATCATTGTTAAGCATAGTCATGCAAAAGAAGTCCGTTAACAGTTAATTATCTTCTGGAATCACTCAAGCCAAGCACAAAATAGTTGCCTAAACTGGAAAACTTGAAGATCTGTTACTGGTTCTCAAACTTTCATGTGAACTTTATTAATTGCGGTAAAAACATGGTGGGGTTTTGCCTTCGGTGTAAGAGTTCGTTGTGTTTCTTTTTCCCTCTGACCGAGGCTGAATCGAATCTTCATATGCGTTAAGTTGGATACATGCCTTTTGTATGTGCTTTGGTTTTGTTCTTCAAGTATGCTGACTTTGTCAGTGGAAAGGATAAATGCAATTCTGTCTCTGTTTCCCCCCCTTTAAACCTTCCGTTTTGGGTGGAAAACCACAAAGGTGAATGAAATCTGTCGCAAATTTGCTGCAGAACAAAAAAATCAGTTTCTTTAAGTGGCCTCTTTCAAGGAAACCAGGTTTTTGTCTTCTCTCTGGCTCAAAACAATGGCTTTAGGCCTTTTTTAATTTTCAAACAGCTTGCAGGATCTGAATGCAGTCTGTTTGAATTCCACGTCTTTAAAGGAAAAGAAGAAAGACCAGTACATCCGACTTATATGTTCACGTGACTCTATAAAGTGCAACTGAATACGTTTTTGAATGGCGTTAAAATTTGTCTGATAAGTGAATGAGTCTGTAGACTGTGATCTCCCTAAATAAAGTAAACAGGAATTTTTGTGTCGCATTATGGTTGTAGTGTTGGTAAAAGAACTAATAATAATAATAACAATAAGCAGAAAATAAAACAAATATACAGCACAGCTGTCCTGTTATGTTTGAATGCTGAAGATCTTTTCTGTAGCAGGTGTTCAGGGTTTGCGCAAGGCAAGGCCGAAAGGAGGATGGCAGGGAGCAAAAGGCCCAGGCAATACCTGAAACACCTCACCTGTCTCTTCTCTGGGAAGTCAGGGCAATGTTGGGCAAACATACTGCTTTACGAGTAAGTACGCCTCCCTGTAGTAACACTTGTATTTCTCCTGCGCTCCTGAAGAAATCAACATATTTATTTATTTATTTTGGGCACTTCTACCGCACCCTTCTCAACCCCCAAGGGGGGACTCAGGGCGGCTTACAACCGGCACAATTCGATGCCAACAATTCAACAGATAAAATACATAACAACAACAACCACAATAGTTAAAACATTCAGTTAATACAATAACAACTAAAATAATAACAGACAATAATAACAGACAAGACAGAGGTACTCCTGGTCAGTCGAAAGGCCGAACAGGGTATAGGGTTACAATCTGTGCTGGACGGGGTCACACTCCCCCTGAAGGCGCAGGTTCGCAGTTTGGGAGTTCTAGATTCATCTCTGAGCCTGGAGCCCCAGGTTTCGGCGGTGGTCAGGGGAGCTTTTGCACAATTAAAACTTGTGCGCCAGCTGCGCCCGTACCTTGGGAAGTCTGACTTGGCCACAGTGGTCCACGCTCTGGTTACATCCCGTTTAGACTACTGCAACGCTCTCTACGTGGGGTTGCCTCTGAAGACTGCCCGGAAGCTGTAGCTAGTCCAATGCTCAGCAGCCAGACTACTAACGGGTGCTGGGTACAGGGAGCACACCACTCCGCTGTTACACCAGCTCCACTGGCTGCCAATTAGCTTCCGAGCACACTTCAAAGTGCTGGAGCACACCACTCCGCTGTTACTCCAGCTCCACTGGCTGCCAATTAGCTTCCGAGCACAATTCAAAGTGCTGGTGTTAACCTATAAAGCCCTAAACGACTCCGGCCCTGTTTACCTCTCCGAACGTATTCTCCCCTATGAACCATCAAGATTATTAAGATCGTCTGGAGAGGCCCTGCTCTCGGTCCCACCGGCCTCACAAGCACGCTGGTGGGGATGAGGGACAGGGCCTTCTCGGTGGTGGCCCCTCGACTCTGGAACTCTCTCCCACTGGAGACCAGAACCGCCCCTTCTATCCTGACATTTAGGAAACAGGTGAAGACTTGGTTATGGAGACAGGCATTCGACGAGTGAGCCAACACCCTGAGATATGGATGGAGGATGATGAGCAACGATTTTAGTGTGACGACTGACCATTATAGTTATTGATTGTAATTGCTGTTTTAATGTTTTACTGTAATATGTATTATGATGTTTTATTGATTGTATGTGATATTATGGTTGGAAACCGGTTTGAGTCCCTCAAGAGAGGTGAGAAGGTCGGTATACAAAACTTTTAAATAAATAAATAAGCCAACGTTCAACGTTCAACGTTCTAAAATCCGTAAGTCCATTCAGCATTGCCATAGTCCTTCCCAAAATTCTGGTCATCATTACCTTGTCAGTCTGCCA